ATCGCTTTTATCAAATCACTCAGATCCAGGAAAAACGTCATTTCTATCTACAACGAGGTCGAGACCAGTTATTCCTTCCTTACTGTTGCTTTTCACGATGTTTTACCTTACTTGAAACTCTGAGATGTGAAAATCACTTTGAAAATTTAATATACGTTATGGAAGTAGGCACTTTTTATTATTCTGTCCAATTATTTTTTGGAAATAAAGAGTAAATTTTCACTTATAAAAACACATCAAAAGTGATTTTCCATTCACGCTTTATTTATATTTTTTAATAAATGTATTATTCAATTATTTTTAGAAATAAATTTAAATGATATTTCATTATAAAGAAAAAAAGAAAAAAAATATAGCAATTGATCTTAAATTAGCATATTATTTTACTTGTATTTTTTTATAAGTACTTTTTATAAATACATTATTTCTGAAAACATATTTAATGGAATTTATTTTATCAAAAAAAAAAAAAGAGAGAGAAAAAAAGATATTGAAAGCGATTTTAATTTGGCATACTATTTTATTTATTCGTTAAGTATTTTTAAAAATACTTTTAAAATAGTACACTTTAATAAATATGAATTTTATAGATAGAATTTTATATATAAAAATTTGAAATTAATTTTTATTTCAATTCATTCTATAGTTCACTTGCGTTATATGGGATTTTTTACAATTCTTTTTTTTTTTTTTTTTTTTTGTAATATAGAAAGATATATAGAAGTATTCGTATTAAAATATTTATGAAATTTTATAGATACATTTGTAAATATTTGAAAAAAATTTTTTTTTTTGTAAATATTCATATTCATAACGAACGAGATTTAGAATATTTACTTAATCTTCTCTTTAATCTATGGATTAAGGTCAAAATAAAATTAAAGTGAATAATATTGAATTGATTCAAATTTTATCATGTATAAAAAATCACTGAGTGTTTGTTTTATTTATTTGAATAATGAGAAGATGATTTGTTTGATTAAAATTAATCAAACAATCTTGGGCAATGAGATATTATATTTATTCCATCAGCGTAATCCATCAAATTTATCTTATTGGAAATTTTTTAATTTATGATTCATAATTTGCTAATATCCACTACTAATACCCAATTTGCTAATACCCAAGACAATTAAATTTTTTCTAATTGTCTTCGTAAAATGTTTATAAATTGAAAAATATCGTAACATTTGAATATGTGCAATTTGCGCGCCAAAATTAGCAGCGAATTTATTAATCGATTTTGTTAGGAAAATGTGAAATTTTCTCAATTGATTTTATTTATCATATTTTTTCATATTTCATTCACCGCCATTTTTCATTTAATTAACAATATAATTATAATATATTCATAATTTTCCAATATAATTTTATATAATTATTATATGAAAATTATTATGTAAATTTTATACTTTATTCCTAATGATTATTCCTGTTAATTTATTAAAATCATTAATAAGATATTAATTTTATACGACGTTTCCATTTCTTTTTTTTTCTTCTGCTTGCTTTTTTTCATTTCATCGTTATATTATTTATACAAATAGAAATCGCATAATGAAGAGAAACAGAAGTCAAGAATTCAATATTTATTCAATAAACACGTCGAAACACGATAAATCGTTTCTAAATATTAAATAATTGGAGGAACACTCACAGTTAATTACACAACACTTCCGAATACATCGGATTACAACATTAACAGCAGTATAGTAACAGCAGAAAACAACAGGAGCAATAATTTAACAATATCGCAATTCCATCAAGAATAAAACAGTGCCATGATGAATCAAGGTGTTAAACAGTAATAAAAACAGGCTGAAACGTGTACGTATAATTTGACACATCTTTCATCCAGAAATAATGGAATCATGCAAGCTGCCAAGCTCGTTCACACGCTCGATGTATGTGACTGCGATTCCAATTGGAACCAACAGATTAAGTTGTCCAGTCGTGGAATGCATTTCGTCCACGATCATAAGCACAAAGTGAGAGAGAAACGTTTTGCCATATCGCCTGAATGTTTCCATTTTCCATTTTCTATTTCTCATTAGACTGAAAACGATTTATCATTAAAAAGGTCTCCATAAAGAAATTTAATGTGTCTTTTTTAACTTTTCGAACAGGGATTTTTTTAAACAATGAATGCAATGATAGTTATAAATCTACTACTAAATGGACTGCCATATTTCGTTTTGAGAAAATTGTTGGAATCATGATTAATCGGTGAATTTTTATCATTGAAAATTTCTTAATTTATGAATGACATGTAATTTGTTAATATTCTCTTCTTTGCTAATATTCAAAATTATTCATCTCATCGCGATAAAACATTAATTCTTTTAATCTTGCTTTGTTTTGTAGAAGAATATTTGAATATTGCAAAAGATTGCAATTTAAAAAAAAAATTGAAAATGCTATATAATTGGATAAATATTCGAAATGATCTATGGACAATTTCTAATCTGGTTTCTAATCTATCTTATTTTCTTTTTAAATTTTCCTTATTCTGGACGGAGGAGGCGACAAATTCTTTGAATATTACAAAAGACACAATTCAACATGAAACAATTGATTTAAAATAACTGATCCAAAAATAAGAGAAATGGAAGAGGGATCATTTTTATGATTTTGTATATTTATCTCTTTACATAAAAAGCTTTGTAAGAGGATAATCTTTATCGGTAACGAGGTCTCTCGTGATCGAGCCTCTTTAAAGAGCTTTCGAAGCTTTTAAAACGTAAGAACAAGATGCGGCCGAGGAAAAAGGCTCGAAATCGTTGATCGATTAGAACCAGTCTTCAGATAATAATTGAGTGAATAAGGTTATAATTCTCTTTTTCTCTGATCCGCTCTCTCACCGTGGATCAATCATGTCTTATGCCGCGCTTTTTAATTTGACTTTTAATTTTGCCCTTTCGCGACACTTTTCTTTTTCGCATCTCTCTCTTTTTTTTCTTGTGTCACACTCGATTTATGATTCGCCATTTTACATAAAGTGTGAATACCATTCTATTTTAAATTATTTAAAGGGCGCATTTTACTTATTCTTTAACATGGAATGCGTTTTTTAGTGGATGGAGAATGAGTGAATTCGTGCAATTTCGATGTGAATATCATTTTAATCGTAATAATAAATAATTGTATGTTATTATGTTGTAATAATGATTAATTGAATACAAGAATTTTGATACAATAGAATCAGTTTTATATACGATATTTGAAAACAAAGTAAAATTTAGTTGTAAATAAATTTTGCTTTCATAAAAAAAATTAATATATCGAGTTATATTATTCAGTATGATTATTAATTAAGTTATACAACTTGTTGATAGGATCTCTCATTTATATTATAAAGATACTCATTAAAACAATTAAGAATCTTTTTCTCTTCTCTTTTTGTTTATAAGCTTTTTAGCTTTTCTCATAATATAAATATAAATTAAATATTTTATTATTCTTATTATTATTATTCCAGTTTCTGTTCTGAATGGCATTTGATTTACAATCTTCATTTACATTTTAAGAATACAACATTTTTCTTTTTCTTTATATTCTTTAAATTCTCTGCTTATGGATTAAAAACGCGTTACTCATTCTCCTTTTTCACTTCCGTCTAATAATCGATTATATAACTTTACTTTGAAAAGCTTTAATTTATGCTATTACCTTTATAGATTTTTGCATTTATTTAAATAATATTTGTCACCTTTTACAATGTTAATTTTTTTTAAGTTTTATTAATTTTAGATTTGTTAATTTTATTTTTGTTTCAGAAATTATTAATTATCAAAATCATAATAAATATATATATAAATTTTTATATGGTACATTATATTTTAATATTTGTAATTGTAATTACTTTAAAAACAAATTTTATTACTTTTAGTTTTGTTATTGAAATTTAATTTCATTCAAATATTTTGAAATAAAATATTTTGTATTACTTTTTCTTGAGAATTATTACGACCCAATTACTAATCCCTTAAAAGCTTACTTAGTTTTTCTATGTTTTCATTATGTTATTAAAGAAATAAGAAGTAAATTTGAAAGTGAAATTAAATTTTATGGTCTTGTTTATCATATGCTAATTCTTTTAAATTTTATACAGCATCTTGTTTCTTATAGTCGACCAATCTATTTAATTTACTTATATTCTATTATAATTCTTTTGAAAAATGTTCATTATATTTTACATAAATTATTTCTTTTATATTTTCAAACAATTTGATTAAAAATTTTCTAATTTATCTAATTAAATTATTTTTATAATATATAAAATTTTTTAAAAAATAATCTTTTGATTATTAAAATTTTATTTATTGACAAAATATATCAACTTATCGATCTTTTTATTTTAATGATTTAAATGAAGCTTTAATTTAGTTTGTAAATTATTTTTGCCTCTTTAGATGAATATAAAATGTTATTTATATAATATAAAAAAGATATAACTTAGGTTCTTGAATAATTTGTATAGTAGAGAATTATAACATATTGAAATATTATAGTATATTTTCAAGTTAAAAATTAGTTGAATGAAATAATTTGTTATATATAGTTAACAAAAATATAATCTATTGTTAATTGAATAAATTATATATGATTAAATCTATATGTGCAATAAATCTATATAATAAATCCATTAAATTTATATTAATATACGATATTTTTTCTAAAAAATTTTCATCTTTTTATATTTATATAAAAATCAATTACAAAAAATCTTGTAAATTTTCAACACTTATTTATTTTAATATAATAAGTATGAGATATCCTAAATAATATAGATGGATATTAGAAAAATATTAAATATTATTAAATGTTAAATATTAAAATTTTCTTATATATATACATTTATATTAAACATTTTATATACATAGATTTTTAATATTTCTAAATTTCCACTTTGATTTAAAAATAATATTTATTAATTAATCGGAATCAATAATATTTAATATGTGACACGAAAATATAATATTAATTTATTATCTTAACAGGTGGTTGTTCTGCATTTGGACATTCCTGTTTCGGTGGTCACGGCAAGAGATTTGATCCAAATATACGGGAGAAGATGCTTCAAGATGATGATACGATTATTAACAGTAGACATCGAGAAATAGAAGATTTAAATTCGCGTAATGAATTCGATGTTTCTGAAAAAAAGTTTGGAGGACAGACAGAGATACTTCCTTCTCAGAGTCGTCAAGATTCTTCGAGATTTAATCCTTTCACATTATCCTTCATCGTTCGACAATGGGTATATTTAAATAATATTTTATCTAAAAAGAATAAAAGATAAAAATAAAAGATAAAAACGAATGAATATAACATAAATTTAAATTTATCTGTATAAATACTAGTATTATTTTATAATATATAGATAGTTGTATGTAGACTCTTTCTTATATGTAGTTTTATCTCCCTATTAATTTAATATAAAAGATTCTAAGTATTGTATATTGTTTGAATATAATAGAACGATAGTATAATTTTTGGATAACAAATGTTTCAGATAACAAAAGTTTAACTATATTAAAGTTTTATCGTTATATAAAATCTCATTAAAAATTTAATATACTTCAGCACTTTTTTCTGTAAGTTATACACTGTGCATAATAGTCTTGTATGCTAATTAAAATCAAGATTGGATCAGACCAGAATTAGATCCCTAACCCACACTATTTCAATATTTTTAGCCTAATCTTCTTTGCTTCTTTTTATTTCTTTTAAAAACGTGATTTAATAGTAATTATTGTAAAAATATCATGTAAATGATGCTTAATTGATATTCAGTGATTAATGTATCATATATAAATATTTGATAAAAGCCATTCGTTCATTTTTATATTTTATTTTTAAAAATTAAAAATAATATTTCAATAATCAATGATTAATGATTCAAATTACAGTTGACGTCGCATCGTCTTCATCAACCGGACATGGAACTTAATAACAAATAAACGGATAGGATTTCTATTATATTTTGAATTTGAAACAAAGAATTTAAAAAACTTTAGAAAACAAACATAAAATGAAAATTGATAAATGAAAATATTTTAATAAAATATCCCGGTTGTTGTTACATTATAATTTTAATAATTTTCTATTTTGTTTTTCAAATTCTATGAATAAAATAAAATAAAATAAAATAAAATAAAATAAAATAAATTATATTTAAATAATTGTTAAGATAATACATATATTATAAAACTAGAATATTTTTATTTCTATTTTCAATCATTTAAAATTGATAAGCAGAAATTATATTATATTATTTCTGTATCTATGGATTTCTGTTTTGATGATGAAGTACAATTGTTAATATTCTATTTAAATTATATGTAAGCAAAAAGTAGAACAAATAAAATGTTCTTCCTTAAAATATTTGTTTAACGTATCTTAATTACATTTAATAGATATTAGAATGTAATTTAAGATTTTAAATTATTTAAATTAAGATAATTTAAATTAAGATAATTAATTTTTTAGGAAATCAGTGCCACTTTCAAAATGCCATTGGTAAAACATATAAATAAAAAGAATGGTAGAAGAATAGAGATAGTATAAGAATTGAACTTCAATGCCATCTTTTGACTATTAAAAACATTTCTTTAAAAATAAAATAAGGAAAAGTAAGAATTGAGTTTCAGCACCATCTTTTAAAATTTATGTCTTTCTTTCTTTTTATACTTGTGAGATGGCGCTAATGTCAATTCTCCATTTTATTTCTATCCTTATTTTACTTGCTCTCCTTGTTTATATTTTCGAAAGAAGTACAAGATTCGATATTTCGATTCGATATTTTCATTCAATACATTAATTACATTTCAATATTTAATTTCTTTTTTATATTAAAAATTAGATTTTAATTTTTAATGTAAAAAAATAAATAATAAATTATAAATAGTATATATAATAATAATATTTCTTTTGATTTTTAAAAACATATGTAAGATGACCGTAGAACGAATATATTTGCTTCAAGAATAGAAATCAATTTATTGATTGAGCTTTATCAGAGTTATTATTTTAATTTTGTGTTTGTTAGGAAAATTTATCAATTTTAAGATATTTAAAATTATGCGTCCATGATTTTATTACTAATAATAAATAATTACGTACACTGATTCTGTAATCGTTATTTTTTTAATGAATATAAGAAAATGAATTGTGAAAAATATACAAATCAATGATTGAAAATTTAACAAAGTATGATGCATATATAATGAACACATGAATTTATATATACTATATATATATATATATATATATATATAGTTGCGTAATTTGAATGTTTTTCTTACAAAAGCTTATTATATGAATAATGGATTTATAATTTGTAAAATATATTATATAAAAATAAAATGCTAGTAAATTTTTATCAAATAAAAGTATTATTTAAAATTTCAAAAAATTATTTCAAAATAATTATATTTTTATTAAATGTATCTTTTATTCAACAAAAACAATTTTATTTTTTAAAATAATTTCTTTACGTATTTTTGTTCTTTTTTTTTTCTATTGTATTAACGAAAATAAAACTATTTTTTAATAATTAATTAAAATTTCTTTAATATTACTTTTTTATCACGTGATAGAATTTCATAACCGTTATATCACATCAAAAACAAATAAATTTGCGCCGAACTTATATAGGACAAATTAACCTTTTTTATTCAATACGACGTTATTTCTTTTAAAATTTTTTTATAATCATGAAAAAATAATATTTAAATAATATGTAATATAAGGACAACTATAATTTTCAATAATCATGAAGCAAACTTGATATCTATTTTGAGTTGTACGTAATGTGTTAATCATTTATTTATAACACTACTGTGCTGCATTTTCAGCTAATCGGACAAGTAAAATATAAAATGGTATATTATATTTGAACTGTCAAATAACTTGTTTATAAAATCATGGACGAAATTTGGTTTCATCTATCTAATCAATTTGAGACACTTCAGGTAATTATAATTCTTGAAAAAATATATATTTTAAATAATTTATATAATATATGATTTTAATGTGATATAATAAATTCATTAAATAAGCTTAACTAAGCTTTTTAGAGGAAATAATATTTTTTTTCTAATATTTATAGTTAATAATTTGTTTAAAAAAATATTTCTAAGAGTATAGCAATTCAATTTTATTAATTATAAATTATATTATTCTTAATTATAGATTATATTAAATAAGAAAAATATCATTATTAATTATTTGTTTCATTCATTTTTGTATAAAAAAAATTTAAATTATATTCAATTTTATATTTTTAAATATGGATTTTTTTGGAAAAGATTCAAACCTCATTACTTGTACAACAAGGACAACAATGGATCATAACATGGTTTGCTCAAGCACGTCAGGTTTTTTATAAATTATACAATAATCAAAACATACAAAATGTGAAAGAAATTGTACAACATCTACTTATTTGGATTGAAAAAACATGGGAACACTTACAATTTCAGTATTATAATATACATTTCAATATCACTGGACTTTATAGACAAATAAAAACTTTTTATAATAATGAAGGTATTAAAATAATGTTAAAAATTTTGTGATTTCATATCAAAATTAATTGAAACAATGTTATATAACATTTATATTAAATAAATATATAATAAATAATAACATTTATATTAAAATATCAAAATAATATTATATTTAAGTCTATAATAATATAATATAATTTTTATTTTTTTAGTGTCAAATAGGGAACTTGCATTTTGTTTAGCAGGTCTAGTTGTTGGTACTTTAGTTGGTTATTATATTAGAATTACTTGGGAACATGTGCCTCGTCATATGCATCATATAAAAGCTATTATATGTCATCATTACATTGGTATTGAGGTATTGTATTAAATTAAAAAATTTAAATAATAATAATAATAATAATAATAAATTCATTTATATAATAATAATTAATTTTTAATTTAAAATACAATATTTATATTATTTAATATATTCATATTGAATTTATTATAAACAATGTAGGGTGTATCCATGATAGATGATGCAGAAATGCCTATGATAGAAAGGTCTAATGAATTATTAGTACAAGTTAAAGCAGCCTCTGTTAATGTTGTTGATACAAAAATTTGCAATGGTTATTCTAAGATTTACAGAAGACTTCTTAATTATGGTGTATGTAAAATAAAAAATTATTTTTTTTATTATCTAAATTATATTGTTAATATATTTATTATTTATTTATTTTTAGAAACATAAAGAACTCCCAGTAACTTTAGGTAGAGACTGTACTGGAGTGATAGTAGGTATAGGACAAAATGTTATTAATTTTGACATTGGGGACGAAGTATTCTTAGCTGTACCTTCTTGGGCTCCTGGTACAATGGCAGAATATATAGTAGTTCCAGAAAGTCAAGCAGTTAAACGACCAAAACTTTTTACTTTTGAAGCATCTGCAAGTCTTCCCTATAGTGGATGTTTAGCTTGGGATGCTTTAATTAATAGGTCTATAATTCAAGAAGGCGATGCAAAAGGAAAACGGTATTGTAAAATAAAATAAATATCGTTTGTATATGTAAATAAGACTATAAAATTTATTTTTTAGAGTACTTATATATGGTGGAAATACACCTGTTGGTTGTATTTTAACTCAACTAGTTAAATTATGGGGTGGATATGTATTTACAATATGTACACCAAACGCAATTCCTGTATTAAAAGCCTTAGGAGCAGATAATGTTATATCATTGGATAATTCAAATATAGAAAAAGAATTACAATTACATGACAAGTAAGTATAATGCAAATACTTTTTTATGAAAAATAAGAAGTACATATTAAATTTATTCTGAATTAATATTAATATTAATAATAAAATTCAAATAGCTTTTAATTAAATTTTTAGTATTTGAAACTAGCTAAATTTGTAGATTCGATGCTATATTTTATACTGGAGGTCAACCAATTGATGAACGTATATTAAAACAGAATTTAATACCTTATGGTTCTTATGTTTCTACAGTCCCTGAACAATTAATATCTGATTCATTAGGTTTTATATTTAGAAGTATATTTGCTGGATGTGTACGAGTGAAGTTATTAATTCAGGTAAAATAATACTTGATAGCTTAATTAAAAATTCAATATTATTTAATATGCAGCATTATATTTATTGTAGTATGTATTTGGATTCAATATGCATCAGTGGAAAGAAGGTTCAAAAATTAACACAGCATATTTGCAAGCATTGTGTGATTTAGCTGATGCTGATCAATTGCAAATGGTTGTAGATAGAGTATATGGTCCTTATAATATTGAACAAGCATTACATCACATATTAGATCCCAATGCTATTGGTAGTACTATAATAACATTTCAGTGACAATTAAATGTTATACATATGTAGAAAAGTTTTCAGTTATATAAATATTGGTTTCCTTTATTAATATATGTTATATGTATATAATATCCATAATGCCTAATCACTGCCAAATACCATCCAAAAATTGAAATTTTAATTCTATATAAGATTATAAAAACAATAATAATAAAAAATTTTAATGAATGTGATGAAACCAGTAAGACTGAATAAATATTGTAATGAAATTATTTTACATAGACAAATTGTTATCTATTTGTATATGTAAATGAACAAAAATTGTAATAAAATATACAACGAATACAATCAATAATATTGAATGGTACATATTATACTATGTATAAAAATGTATAAAAAACATTTTTATTGTAAAATGTAAAAAGAAAAAATGTAAAATGAAAATTAATTAAATTAAATATTATTTGTATATGTATAATCTATTTTATGAAATAAATATAAAATTGTTTAAATATTTTTAGATTTACAATAACTTTATATATTGACAATATTATAAGTGATTCAAATTGAAATATTTTTGTAAACATTGACATTCATATTTGAAAAAAATTAAAAAATTTTTAAATTTTTAAATAATTATTTTGGTCTTCCACGTGGTTTTCCTGTTGTACTTTTTTTAGTTTTTTTAGTTGTTCCTTTTGTCTCTTCTATCTGTAAAAATATAATATATATATATATATTAATTTAAAAATAATATAAAATAATATAATATTAATAAAATTGTTATTTATACTTACTTTACGTTTTGTAGGAGTTGAATTTGGTAATACTTTAAAGAATGTATCCAATCTTCCTTGAGTGGAAGTATTTCGTGCTTTATGTAATTTTTTTGCACCATTTCTTACTCTTTCTTCATTAAATTGTTTATCACCACATAGGTACTTTACTAAACCTTCTTCATCTGGTTCTATCCATTTTAACTTGAAAAACATACATATTTATGTACATATTTCATGTGAATATTTGTTATAAATATAATAATTATAATAATATATATATAATATTATAATAATATATATATAATAATAATAAAACTTATTAACATAAATTATTATATAATATACCAATATATAGTATTAACATATAAGTTTATTATTATTATGCAACCATCAATCCATCAAAATCTATTAAATATAAAATTTTAGACTTACATCAATTGTTTCAGGATCTGTTACTTCAGGTTCTTGAAATAATAATCGAGCTTGTTTGTAATTCCAATCTTCTGGAATTGGAAATTTCTTAGTATCCAAATTTTCTACAATTTTTTCAAGTGTCCTATGTGTTTTAATTAACTCAATAGCTCTTTTTGGTCCAACTCCTTTAATACTATTTGTATAGTCACAACCTAACATTATACAAAGATCAATGAACTGTAAATAATAGAAATAATAAATGATTAATTTTTAGAAAAATTGAAGATGAAGAATAATGTGTATAATATAATTTATGAGAAATTACACATTTTAACTTGAATGTGCTTAAATTTTACTTCATATTATATTAAAATTTTTATATATTTTCTTATAACATTTTTATACAAAAATATTGTATATTTATCATATAAATAATTAATAACAGAAATATTAATATCATGTTATTTTTACATACTTCATCATGACTTAATTCAAGACCTTCTAATACTTTATCTTGATGAAATTCTTGTACAGGCATTTTTCTTGCTTCACTAAATGTTAATCGTCTGAGTAAAATATTGCATCCAAAAGTAAGTGCATCCATATCTTCTGTAGCAGTTGCAAAAACTTTACCAGCTTTTACCATAGCAGCACATTGTGCTTCAGCTTCACATGGAGCCTATAAATATAATATATTATAATGAAAATTATAATTAATATTTTGTTTTTACTTACATCAATGTAAGGAATACCCATTAACTTCAATAATTGTTTAGCTTCTTCTGCATGCTCTTTTGTAACTTTTACTAATCTTCTGTTAAATTTTTCTATATCTTCTACATTTCCTATGTTCAAAATATATAAAATATTATAAAAAAACTTTAGAATCATATTTATATAATAATATAATCAAAAGCAATAAATTATATTTATTAGTTTTAAAATTAAATAATCGGATAATTAAAAATACCAGCTTCTTCTGCTGCTTGTAATAATTTCTGTGCTTCGTCTCTCTTTTCAGCTCGTTTTGCTAATTCTCCACCTTTTAAATTTGGTGGTTTTCCATCAAATACATATACAGGTTTTATTCCTTGCTCTACTAAACGTATTGTTCGATAAAACATACCCATTAAATGACTGTAACGCAAAGAATAATCAAAGAATAATATAAAATTACATAGATATTCACTAATTATGTACCTAGTTGTTTCACCATCTACAGATGTAAGTTGAGCGCCTTCGCTACGTACTGCAATAAGAAATTGATATAAACACATAGATGCATCTATGGCTATTTTACGACCTAAAATAAAAAATGAAATATTGTTTTTATAGTAAATTTTGATAAATATTTGAATAAATATTTCAAAACTCTGAATTATTCATACCAAAATAATGTTTCAATTCTTGTTCTTTGATAGCATTTGGTGCAATATCTGCTATTAATTTTGCTAAACCCAAAATACCCATAATAATAATTAATCACTCACGTTGATTAATAAAATTATTCAACAATAATTGAAACATAGAATTGAGCAAAGATGCATAAAACAGGTCTTTCGCGCCAATATTACGTTCTATAATAATCATTATATATATAATATATATATTATATTACAATAATAAAAAAAATTCTTGCATTATTTATCAAATTTAAGAAAATTGAAATTATCAAATATTCATTGCATATATATTTTTTTATATTTAATTTTGTTTTTCAAAAATAAATAAAATATTAATAAACTTAAGCAATATTTATAGCTTATGTTATCATGAAAATCGTATTTAATCGTATAAATTTCAAAAATTATATTATTATATATATTTTAAATTAAACATAAAATGTATATTATTTTTATAGAAAATAAATATTTTATTATAATTCATAAATAATATCATTAAAATATTTTTAATGAAAATATGTTAAAAAATTAAAGCTTAGCTTATTGAATTGATATATATATATATATATATATTACATATATAGTATCTATGTACATATATATGGCAGTGCATTTTTCCACGTGGTTTAAGTATTCGGAACTGAATATGATTTTGTAATATATTTGACATGAAAAATGGATAATAATTGTGATTTAATAAAAACAATTGTTGATGATCAAGAAGTGCCAAATTTCTCTGAAGATTCTGATACCGAAAATGATGTAAGATATAATTGAATAAATTTTAATATTTAATTTTAAAAATGATCATAATTTTAAAAATTTCAATATAGTTTCAGCCAAGGAAGCGAAAAAAAAGAGAAAATAAAGATTTTGATAATAATTTTCAATTTTTAAATGATGTTTCTGATTATAATAAGGATACATGGAATGACTTGAACAAATATATTAAACGAAAAGCTAAAACAAAACTTGATGATAAAATTAAAAAAATTAGGAAAGGATCTGAACATAAATTATATGTACATATATATTATTATTATTTTTATTACTACAAAAGTTATCAATAATAATAACTATATTAATATTATTATATTAAAATAAAGAAAAATACATAAGTAAATAATTTATAAATATACAATATATTATATTTATATAATACAATTTTATATTATAATATAAAATACTGATTATGATAATAAAAATTATTTTATATTGATTTATAATTTGTTATATTTATGTATTTTTTTTTTTAGAATGAAATAGATAACGAATCCAACGTAGATATATCTGAAATTAAAAAAATAGATGATGAACTATCTATATCAGAAGACGAACTTAAAAAAGGTAATGTTATTAATTTTACAAAATAAAATAAAATTAATTACGAATTTTGTTTTATTTTAGATATATTTAAAATTAAAGAAAAAAAAAAGAAAAAAATTACTAAAAAAGCTAATGAAGAAACAATTGACTTTGAAGAATATTCAAATATAGAATCTCATGCAACATTTCATCAAATGAATTTGTCACGTCCTTTGTTAAAGGTATAATATAAATATTAATTTTTATAATATAATAAAATTTTATATTATTTCATATACAGATATATATATATATATATATTTTTTTAAAGGCTATAACATCTATGAATTTTGTTCATCCAACACCTATACAAGCTGCTACTATTCCTGTTGCATTAATGGGTCGTGATATATGTGGTTGTGCAGCTACAGGTACTGGTAAAACTGCAGCTTATATGTTACCAACATTAGAAAGATTGTTATATAGACCATTAGATGGTCCTGCTATCTCTCGTGTCCTTGTACTTGTTCCAACAAGAGAACTTGGTGTACAAGTTTATCAAGTTACAAAACAATTATCTCAATTTACAACAATTGAAGTAGGATTATCTGTTGGTGGTTTAGATGTAAAAGCTCAAGTATGTAAATACATTGTAATTTAATTAATAATAAATTATATATAAATATATTATATATAATTAAATTAACTACTAAACAAAACTTGAAATAATATTAATAGATAAATATAAATAATATAAATAAATAGCTATTAATATATTTATTATTATTTTTAAGGAAGCTGTATTGAGAAGAAGTCCAGATATTGTAATTGCTACTCCTGGAAGATTAATTGATCATTTAAAAAATACACCAACATTTTCATTAGATAGTATTGAAGTGCTTATTCTAGATGAAGCAGACAGGTAAAAAATATATTTTACTTATATTTCTCTCATTCTAATTAAAACATTGTTATGTTTAATTTAAGGATGTTAGATGAATATTTTGCTGAACAGATGAAATATATAGTAAAACAATGCTCAAGAAGTAGACAAACAATTTTATTCTCAGCTACTATGACTGAAGAAGTAAAAGATTTGGCTGCTGTATCTTTAAATAAGCCTGTTAAAGTATTTATAGATAGTAATCAAGATGTTGCTTTTAATTTACGCCAAGAATTTATTCGGTAAAATTATATTTTATATTTTTTATATTTTCTTTAATATATATTTTTATATTTTTATTTTATATATTCATTTAATATATTCACATTATTATTATATATTATATAGAATACGAAAAGAAAGAGAAGGAGATCGAGAAGCAATCTTGGCAGCTCTAATTTGTAGAACTTTTCATGATCATGTTATGATTTTTGTACAAACGAAAAAGCAAGCTCACAGATTACATATTTTATTAGGATTACTAGGTATCAAGGTAAATTATTAATTATTTTAATAAATATTAAGAAAGATTAAAAGTTATAAATACAATTATAAAAAACTTTTTTAAAATAATTTTTAAATGTAATTTAGGTTGGAGAACTTCATGGTAATCTTACACAACCACAACGTCTAGAAAATTTAACAAAATTTAAAAATGAAGAAATAGATATTTTATTAGCAACAGATGTTGCTGCAAGAGGATTAGATATTAGTGGTGTAAAAACTGTAATTAATTTTGTAATGCCAGCCACTATGCAACATTATATTCATAGGTATTAAATTTGTACATGCAAATGTATTATAGGAAAAATAACTATTTTATAATTATTTATCAGAGTTGGAAGAACAGCTAGAGCTGGTCGTGTTGGAGTATCAGTATCATTAGCTGGAGAACAAGAACGTTCTTTAGTTAAAGAGATTATTAAAAATGCAAAAAATCCTGTAAAGAATCGAATAATACCTTCTGATATAATTGACAAATATTATAAAAAATTACAATCTCTTGAACTCGATGTAGAAAAAATTTTGGAAGAAGAACGAAATGAAAGAGAATTAGCTAAGATAGAAAATCAGGCAAATCGCGCAGAAAAATTATTAAAAAATGAAAGTAATAAAAGCATTCAAAGAACTTGGTTTCAAACTCAAAAAGAGAGGAAAGAAGAAAAAGGTTATTTTGATATTTTCATTTCTTATTTAAGATCATAGTTGTATAAAATTTAATGTATAATAGATTTTTAAAATAATTTATATTATTTTTAGAAAGATTATCATTAACTGAAAAACAATCAAACAAAAAAGAAAAAAAAAAGTTAAACAAAGAACCTTCAAACATAGTTGAAGAAAAGAAAAAGAAAGCTAAAGAACCTAAGAAAGAAACAGCAGAAGATAGAGCTAAAAAAGAATTAGAAAAAATTGCAGCATATCAAGCAAGATTAGCTAAGAAACAAAATAAACTAAATAAAATTCGTACAATTGTAGATGATGATAAATTTACACCTAACAAAAAAGGTATTATAATAAATTATTCTTTTAATTTTAAAAGACTGGACATTTTTTTTGTAATTTGAATTTCTTTTTAGTATTACAAAAACGGCCTAGATCTTCATTTGTTGCTGACTTAACAAATACAAGTAAAAAAGCTGTAAAAAAAATGCGTTACGAGTAAGTACATTTTATTAAGAATAAGATAAAAAAAAATATTACATATTTTATCATATCATTTTTATAAATATTATATATAATATTATCTTTATAAATACAATTATTTTGTTTTAGGGCTAATGTTAAAAAGAATCAAAATATAAGAAAAAATGCAAAGAATTCAAACATAGGAAAAAAGGATAGAAAAACTTTTAGAAAACGTTAAACTAAATATTAATATTTGTAATTACATCTTATTAAATACATACCATTTTACTTAATTTCTTTTATTATAGAACCGTTACAATGCGTCACTTATGTCTCACAGATTGACAAATGAATAGCACTGATTAATTGGTTTTATTTTCATCAGAATATGTATACTCTGTAATCTATAACCTGTTTGAAAAATTCCAGTACTATGCAATTAATTTTTTGTAAAAACAGATGTTTGATAATGATATCATAAAATATAATTGCAAACGATTTAAATTTATAAATTATTTTAAAAAATGTTAAACAAAATTTTATAAAACTTAACAGTAACAATGCTTTGTTGATGAATTATGAACAATATTTCATATATGAAAAAATAAAGAATGACTTTTACAAATTATTACAAGAAATAAAATTTATAAAATTTGCATTGTACTGTAATTTCAGTGAAGAGGTAATAGGTATGTATTAATTCTATAATGTTTATTATAATAAGATCAAACATTCATCATCATTCACAGCCTCATACATCATTTTCATTCTCATCTTAATATTTAATACACTTTTAATGCTTAATGCTAAGGATTCTAACAATGAAAAAGGAAATTTTATAAAACCTAGGCCCATTTTAAATTATTTAAATTTAAATTCAAATTTGTATCCAATTTTTGGATTTTTTTTATAATAAATAAAGATATTTACTTTTAATTCCAAATATCAAATAAATTCTATAAATATAAAATTTTAATTCATTTATTCAAAAATTTTATTTATTTTTAATGATTGTATTTATAAAATACAAGATATTTTCAAAATATCTTATGTGAATATATCATGTTTAAAATTATCGACATTACATATAAAGTAAAAGAGATTTATGTATTTTTACCACTAAATAAATATTTATAAATTCAATGAATATTTTTTAGCATTTTATAAAATACGAAATAAAAATATATTTTTTTTTTGTTATTTAATGAAATATTTGTTGAAATATCGAAACAATACTTTGACTACATTGTTTATAGACAAAAATTTCTGGATACAAACTTGAATAAAAGTGATACGAAAGTTGTTTTTATAATACATAT